TAGCGGAACTGGAAACGATAAACGAATTCCGGCGATCATGATGCTTCTGGGGATACTGAACCGAACTTTCAAAAGAGTCGTATCATCGGCAGTGTGAGCAGAAAAAAAAGCCTCACCTGTGATAGATGGGCGAATTCTGTGGTATAGTTTCAGTGGGCACTTGCTGATCAAATGGAGAAGTGTGTCGTCGAAATCGATTCTGGTACTCACTTGCTGTCAATTTGCCTCCAGCGAGCGTTGCGCCCGAGAATGAGCGCTGTATTGACGGAGTTTTCGCCTCAGCCTCGGGTTCAACGCATACAAACTGCCCTTCTTGAAGTTGCCGGTCTACAATGTGCGTGGAAATCTGAGTGCGCACGTGACACACGTCATTTCGGTATTCAGATATAGATTGCAGGTAATAAATACGAAGAACCTATACGACTGGAACGGACTGCGATTAAAAGATAGCCTCCTAACAGTTTGGAAAAGATTGCAAATAATTTCGTGTGCATTGTGCAGTTCGATGGGCTCTTCGCTGGAAAATTCGAGCAATCCTGGTGATTGAGAACGGAAAAAATTCCAGCACTGCTTTCACCCGGCTCTGAAGACTCACACATACTTGAAGCTTTTGAAAGCATACATTAGAGAATGGAAGGCACCCGGACAACCGGTGTATGGGTGCCATGTTAGTGATATTAATAAAGGTCCTGCTAGACAAGGCCTTTTTATCTTGAGCTGCCTTTCGTTATGTACGTGCGCTAGCTCTGCGGAGTCGACAGAGCGGGTAGCACTAACTAGTACACGACGACCAGTGAGTTTTAGCGGCGAGAGCAGCACACTCTTGAATTTTATTTTCTCGCGTGGCGTGCATCTTTCGGGAAGCCCGATTGCGCTTATCTGAAGAGCCACTCCTAGCATCTTCTGCTGCACTGCTCTATGCGTTACAACCAGGTACACTGAAGCGAGTAGATAAGTTCGCGAAGCTGACCGTTGTTGTCCAGTCGGTTCTGTTCCCAGTACTGCGCAGCTGTCATTCCCAGACCATCGCTGGCGGCTAACGCGGCTACTTTGTATGTAAAGTCATGTTCCTGAAAAGAACTAAGGCCATGTACGGCTGAGCCAGAGAAAGCCATTCGAAAGAAATAACTCATTTACTGATTCGACTATATTTGGCGCTTCGTGCATTCCTTTCACATCTCTCATAGTTATATCGTTTTATTCCGCTCAAACCTGACACAGCATGCAAAAATGCACACATACACAATTCGGCAGTTCGAAAAATTTGCGTATGCTTAGTATGAACAGCATGAAAGGGACTCGTCCAGGAGACCGCATCGCACCATATTATTTTTGATATAATTAAATTTTACTAATTTTCTTTTTTGATCCTCTCAGACAACAGGGTATATTATCGCGCTCTGGGAGTGGTATCTTGGCAACGCCCAACAGACACCAACTGACATCTCAAAACGGCTCTAAAACTTTACCAAATGCTTCTATTGAGAGATCCACTGGGCTAGCAGTCTTTTCAGAAGACCATACAAAAACGCTTCGTTCTACAATAAACTAACCACTGGACAGTGCAGCACTAGTCAAAGCAGAGACTGTCAATTGCTTCTCCTTTTGTCTGATAATAAAAGGGAGGCTAAAAAAATGGTTTTTTTTTTTTCAGAAAGTGAACTACCACGCAGTTTTATGCCTTGGTGATTTCTCTCCCAAAATTTTCATTTTGCAGGAAGAGGAACCTTCTTTGGTTGTGGTGGTTCGCTGATCGAAACAGTGATGTAACGACAGCCACGTGGCAGCAGATAATCAACCGGTGGCCGGATGGAGTAATTGATACTGGACAGGGGAGCGGTGATTTTGAAGATCAGCTTAAACGATGTTGTGTTGACGAATAGCAAATGCGCTGTCTGCTTGTATGGGTTTTCTCTGATTGGTCGCGGCGTAAAAATCGGAAAAGCCGGCTCTAGCGCAATCGGCATTTCATTGATTATTGGCTTCGCTGCTCCCCCACCAGCAGCCATTCCTGCTCCCAGAGCAACCTGTCCAGTAAAAAAAACCAGTGATAAAATGAAATCAAGAAGTAACCTACACTCTTTTATAGCAGGAGCACTGCAAGCTCGCATGAAGTGAAAAACTCATGCATTTTTGTGCGTTTTTACTGTGCAACGCTATAGCGATACTACAGTGAGCAAAAACGCATACTGTCAAAAAGTCGTCTGGAAGCGAGTGAACGTTGTCACCCACTTCCGACTCAGCAACGGGAAAAGCTGGGAGGCTGAAATTTCGAGGTCATATTCTTTCCCCATGTGTGATCTCCCCGTTTTAAAATCTTCGCTCATACGCGCCTATATCTGTGTAGGGTCCACCAAAAAAAAAAATGCAAATCTCTTTGACGGAAAACGATTTTGTGAACCAGACAACATAGAAAGCTGGAACTTTGCAGGGACATTCTCTGTACAATCACAAGCTAAGTTTTCAAATTCAGCTATTTCATAGCCTACACCGCGCGTACGGTCACGCCAAAGCCCAGCAGTTGGCACTGTGTTAGCTTGAAAACTAGTCGGAAAATAATTGTGAAATTTTGTTAGAATGTCACTCATATGGAAAATCATATACCTAAACTGATTTTCGGCTGGCACATACGTCACAATTTGGGGCGCTTTGAAGATATTTGTAGCAAAGTGGCTATGTCCTTTACCAGACAAGCTACAAAGCTGAAACTTTGCAAAGACACTCTATATTCAGGTGCGGTCTTAATTCAATTTAATAACAAAATAAATGGCCAACGCACGGGCTGCCCGTGCGAAGATGCGTTTTTTGCAGAGTTCCCCGTTGGTTTTTGTCGCTACCGGCATCGGTTTTTCGCCAGATGCTTCTAGCTGAATTTCAGACTGGCCGCC